TTCTGTGCTTCACCTGAGCCTCCTACTGCGACCCGGTTCTTAAAGACATCGCGCGTTCAGTGTCAGCCGCGGGCGTACGACGACGGCTATGAATCGCATCTTCTGCTGTTATCTGAGCCACATAACAGAGACGAACGGGGGAAAAATCAAACAGGTTAAATTAAAAAAAAAATTCTCGCTTTGCAGAAAGGTGCGTGGGCACCTTCACGCTCCACCCCCCTTTACCCACAGGATAGGAATCCGGGTGAATGTGTCTGGATTTGGTGTGGAAGACACAATATTTGCATGTTTGTACCCTTAGCTGATTACCATAGTGACAGCGGCTTCTCGCTGCACCACTGCACTTCCATTATTATGGAAACATTACAGCCAGTTCCAAAGCTGACTGACGTATGTCACTCGCATTTCATGTCTGATCAAAGAATTCCTACGGCAAAAATATATTCCGGTCTTGCGTTATACCCTTATAATTCTTTCTAAAATATGTTAGTCTTGATTCGACCCCATGTTACTCCGACGGACCGGACATTAAATTTTATTTCTGTGGGCAAATACGGTAGCCTACATATTGATAAAATGCCCACGATGGATTTTAAAATATTTTCCATAAGTTTGACTTACGAACAAATATTTGGTTTCGGATTACAACCGGTAAGCTAGCCTGTCCCGGCCACGCAAACGTCACTTGTCATCACATGTGATCGCCCATTTGCTGACACGGGGGGCAACGCCCTGACACCCAAAAACAGACCGAACGCAAGTGACGTCGTCACGGCAATAGAAACGTCGATGTTGGTCTCCTGGGCCTCACCTTTGAAGAGCGGCACGAGACGTCCCCAGCAAGTGATCGCCCCCTTCCTGTTGAACTGTCCCAGCGCCAGTTCCATGTAGAACAGAGGGATCCCGCCTACCACCAGCATGACGCAGTACGGCACCAAGAAGGCCCCTGGAACAATTAGCGGCAAAGACAACTTTGCGTAAATCTCGGTCCCTTACCTTTCGCTGCGTTGCCATGGAGCCGCTGACGGACCCTTTGTCCATCCCCCAGTTCCACTTTGCAAACCGCAAATCCCAAATGGACTGTCCTGTGAGCGAACCCTGGGCTCTGCGGGGGGGAAGCCGGCGAGAAGCTTCAGCTGTTCGCGTCTCTCTCTCTCTTTCTCTCGAGCGTTTTATTAAGATGGCAGAAACGGCAAATCCAATAATAATAGTAATAATAATAGAAAGGAAAAAGCTTTTACTGAAAGCTCGGCTTCCATTTGGGTTCTTCCCCTCAATTACGGAGCAATTTGTCAGCCCCGCGGAGAACAACGCCACCCGGCGCCTTCATGAATGAAATGCAAGAATTCTCTTTGCTCGTTACGACCGCAGACCGAATAAGGCTCGTTGCGTCTTAATTCAGAACACGGTCATAAATGCCACCCAGCACCACCTGCGAGTTTCTCCAGCCCTGAAGATGGAGTCAGTCAGTCCGTCGCGCGCTTACATGCATACAAAGTGACAGTCCAGTGAGAATCCGTGGAACTTTACAACCACGCCCTCCATATAACTTTAGTCCCACTAAATTTATATGTAATATAACACGAAAAGCTGTGCCGTGGAATTAGAATATCTCGATCGTAAGCTGACAAAAGTCTTCTTTTGTCACAGGAACAACAGATACTTTAAACGGGGTTTGTATTTGCTAAGGCAGGAAGGCGAATTCCCGCGGGAGCCAACAGGGAAAGCGGAGTTCAGCTTCCATAATGTAAATTTCGAACCTGACCCCAGCGCTCATGAAGTGTGAACTTGGGCGGAGGCTGGACGTCTGACTCGTCCTCTGCAGACTTATCTTCATCGATCGTTCTTCGACAGAGATTATCAGAATCTTCTTAAAGTTCGCAAGTCAAAAATTATGAAGCATGAGAATAAAATCTGCAGATCCTGATTAAGTCAACGTCCCCTGAGGAGCCTTTGAATTTAACCAATCAGAAGTAGACGAGGTGGGGGTGGGGGCGTCCTGCCCCTCAACAGGTTGCTATGGGAACCAACAAGTAGAACCTGTTGAGCGGGCTACTTCCCACAATAGGACAGGGGTAACTTAAAAATCGCAAAAGATTTCCATCGCTCACGTCTGATGTAGCAGACATTACAGGGATCTGAGAGGAGAGGGTGCGTGACTCGTACCAACACATACCGCGGGCGGTCAGCGAGTCCCAGACACGCGGGGTGACGCAGCCGGGCTCCATCAAGGAGACAATTCTAACGCCGTGAGGAATGCGGAACATCCCGGTTAATGGCACTTCGGAGACCAACTTGTAGATGAAAGGATAATAAACATTGAACCTCACTTTCCCATACACGCCGAGGAATTTCTTGGCCGGCTGAGCGTACTATTCATTGGCTTCTCTGAATGTCTTCCCCGATGATTTATTTCCTTTGAATTGTCTTAAGAATCTTAAGAAGTCAGTAAGTTTCGAAGGATGTGTCTCGTTAGACTTCAGGTAGAAAGAGGCGGAGCGTAGATCTATTCAGTTTGGTCTCGCAAACCGATCTGTGGACCGGGCGCCGTTGAACAGGTATTTGCCCCGCCTCCTTTTACCTGGAGACGAAGAAAGATGCTCGAAGTTCCTTAAGACAGGCGAGGACACAGTCTAAACTACGGACAGAAATTATCGGTGTACACAGCCGTAGTGCAAAAGGCGCGTCCCCTACAGAATTCTGTCATGGTACAAAATGGCAGGACGGAACAGAACCTCGAAGGGAGAAGTAAACGGAAAAGCGCTCACCACTTTGGCGGAAATTAGCGCAAAACTACGGTATGCAGTGGCCTTAACTCTTCGTTCGCTTTATTTCAACAGTTGATGAAAAGTTTACGTGTACGCTTTGCTTTAATTCATACAGTTTCATGAAATCTGACATACAATTCTTTCATCACAAGCAACTTTTAATTCAGTTGTAAGACCGACATCGTTTAAAGGACTAAGCTTAGTTAGGGCTAAAATAACTAAGTACTTACGTCAGAGACAGACGTACGGAGTAAGTTAATAGTTTTTCACAAAATACAAGACTTGTTCAAAAGTCATTTACCTGGCAGCGAGCAAAAACAGCAGACAGACGTCACGCGTCCCCCGAGTTGAAACGAACAGCGTCTTTTATTAACTTCCTCGATGTAAGTTTCAAAACTAATTTAATTACGTCTTACTCGCCGCAAGAGCTGAAGACATGGCCGCTCCATCTACGCCCGCGCTCAAGTGCCGTGTGCAATCAATCAACTACGTGCGAATTTCGTTGTTGTGGTAGGAACAAAAGAAGGCGATTCGTTCAGGATAGCCAACGTTTTCGGCGCTCTTAAAATTACCCCACGCCCGGTGTCCCATGTTGTGGTTCCGCTCACAGGCCATCTGATTGATGAGGCAGTGTTTATTTCTAGATCGATAGTTAGGGCGACGTTTTGAAAATGGAAAATCCATTGCCCTGGCCACATCCATTGTCTACGGCAGGACTCAAGACTCAGGACACCTGCTCTGGGTCGATCACGCGGACTCACCCTCTGATATGGCGGTGGACCTTTTTAATAAGAAGACTTGAGACTGGTAAATATTTGAGCCATGAACTAACGAGTTTATGCGGTCTCTCAAGCACATTGCAGGCTGGTCTACGTAAGCGATATGTTTCGAGCTAGATCATCACTTCATCACGAACGCTGTGTTCGTTTACCTGACTACGTTACTATGGATAACCTGATAATAGCTCGGATGGTAAATATATTTCCGGGCTTTCAGGAAACCATGGCGTTCAATACCGCGCGTACAATATCCCGCCAGCGAGCCAGTTGATTCCAATCCACGCCCTATTACTTTCGTATTGTCTACTGTCCTAAACATGCCTGGTGTACTTCTACGAGGTTCAATGCTTCTGTGAAACATTTTATATATGAAACCGAATTTGCATAAACATTCTTTGGAATCAGACGTGACCCCTGGGAAGCTGAAACCCTTCACGCATCTTGCACCGCGTTCTGACGTCTGCTCGAGGACTCTGTGGCTGTGGAAATCTTCCCTATTTTCTGATAGATCGCGCCATAGGGCTGACCTGGTACGGACACACTGCTTGTCCGCTTTGTCCGGACCGCTCTCACAAACGATCTGATAATGGACTTTCTACTCTGGTGATTTCTTTCCTTATAACATGCTCGTCGTCGGCTCTTTAAGAAAAAGAATTTCAGAACTCCGTCGAAATGAATTCAGATCTTGAAAGGCAAAGGAGCTAATAGTCGCTCAGTTACCGGCCTTAAAGAAGCTGTAAGTTCCATTACCGCGTTCATAACAGCCCGTCAATGGATACTATCCTGAGCCAGATTAATCCACTCACCGCTCTATTTCGAAAGAACTATTTTAATATTATCCATTAGCGCCCAGCTACAGGGGTAATGATTAACCCCCTGGCTACAGCGTCACCTAGTGGCATGTGTCGTCATTACTGAAGTGGGAGCTCCATTTCGGGGTACTCCAAAGTAAAATTAAAGCTGTCCGAAAGGTACAATACCAACTACAGAGGCCTGCAAGCCGCACGTCAGCCGACGCCACCAGCGTCATTAAAGACGCCATCTTCCCGTGGCAATGTCAACGCCGCACCGACGGAGACCTAACTTGGTTACCTCGCTCCTTGATTAGCTCTTAATGGGTTATTGAATCTGGTATCCGCTCGTCCATCACACGGGTTGTTTAATCTCTGGCCCCCGACAGGCAGTTTCACAAGAAATCTCCCGCCTTCTATAAGCAAGAACGTTCATTGCCGTGCTAACAACAGCCCGCCATTGGACTCTGTCCTGAGCCAGATAAATTCAGCCACCACCCGGACACCACGAATAAATAAATAAATCCGGTCAGACTTCCGTTTCTTAGTGCAGCAGATCTCAGCGCCCGGCTGGCTTTACGTCTCTGACAGCGATTATCGGCACAGGAGTCAAGAAAATTGGAACCTTCGGCCTGTGACGAATAGAATGTAAGGTTTCTGCTTCTAGATTTCTAATCCGCCAATGTTAAACGTTCACGTTGTCTGACGAAAAGCGTAAGAGACGAGCTCCCGCCCGTTTCACGACCTCCAATACGAAATTTCATCAAGATTACGCCGTCGGCGTAAAAGTCTCGAAACATTCGGACAGCAGGTGGTCACTTACCGCCGCCGTTCTTGTAGCAGAGATACGGGAAGCGCCACACGTTGGCCAGGTCGACGGCGAACCCTATGACGGAGAGCAAGAAGTCCACCTTCTTGCCCCAGGTCTCCCTGGTGTCCCCGTCCCCCACCAAGGCCCCCCCGCGGGGGGTTGGGGTGCGAGATTTGGTGATGCTGGGAGCCATTGCGGGCAGGCTGGTTCTAGCCCTGACGATGGCAGCCCGGATCCTCTCTGTAACAAGTAACACCCTTTGATCGCCAGTGACAGTGCACGTTTTATGCGTTGGGCAGTAAAACGTTCTGATGTTGGCAGCAGTGCTCGTAATCAGCTGGAGCAAAGCGTTTCTCACAGCAAAATGACGACTTATCTATCTACTCGGAACAGGGTGTTTGAGAGAAGCTGATCGTCGCCCACCGAGTCAAACAATTTCCAAACCGGGGGGTTCATTACTGCCTTCGCCATGCGCGCTACACGTCCCGCCCATCTCGCCCTCCTTCATTTGATGAGTACAAACGACGAAGATTCTCGTCATGCGATGAAGGTTATTTGGAAACTCCTGAAACGTCCATGAGTTCGAACCTAGAGGCTTCCAGACCGAGACGTTACCCCAGTTTGTAGAGTCAGGGGGTCACACGTAGCGAATACTTGGAACTTTTCGGAGTGCAAAAAAAAATATTTTTATTGATTTCATTCTCCTCGTCAAGATCCGTGCAATTTGAGACCGAAAATCCTAGAAGGTAAATCTAAATGCAGCTAGAAAATTGTCACGCCAAATGCCAAGTACGAGGCGAAAATGACCCTGAAAGCTTCTTACCACTCAATACAAAGAAACGCACATTCGCTTATTATAAATAAAAAATAAATTTCTGAACCCGTTACATTAGTCACAGTGGGCCCGAAAAACTTAATCGGAGAACAGAAATGTTCAAATGTGTATTCACCGTTAAACTGGAACGGGAACTTCGCACTTTGTTGTTGTTGTTGTTATTACATTATTATCATTATTCTTATTGCCACTTTTATTGATGCATAATTTTGCATTTAAATGTTGCGAACGGAGCAGCTTAGTCGCGTGGAAATATCGAAGCCAGTCAAAAGAAACTTAAAGTATCTCGTTCTTTAGAAAACCAGCAACTTCGATTGAACAAGCACAATAGAGTAGACGTGCTTCGCCATTACCCCATAATGATTGAACTCTCGGGTTAAATTTAAAGTTCTCTTCTTCTCATTTCGAAGAGGAGCTCCCGATTCCCTTCAGGGAGCATTCCACCTGATTTCCCCCAAGGAAGTCTGCCGCAGACGTGGCATATTTATTTCGCAAAAACCTCGCAGGAGGTCTGACTACGGTTACACGTAAAGCCATCGCCTGCAAGGAGGCGACGCGCAGATGAATGGTCCACCGACCTGAGACATGGACATAAAAAAACTAAGCATATGCTCTTTGAAATTCCTACATCAATGAAATTGTTAATGTTCGACTGAACTTAAAGTATCAAGATGGAGGCAGATGGGACGGTGGTAACCGTTTACAGCTGAAGCTGTCAAACAAATAACATTTAAATGACTAAGTCCGTACCGCGAAGTAAACACAACTCTTCACCATTACGTAGATCAACTGGTTAACGCTGTTTAAGGAAATAATCGCTGTTTATTCTGAGAATCATATTAACCAATAAATGCAAACTGCGAGAGTTACTGATTGTTAAAGCAGGTGGTACATATGTTTACCATGGATTAAAAGTGTTAAGAAACGAGGGTGTGAAGGTGTATATTGGATTCAACTGGCTCAGGATAAAGCAAATTGGAGGGCTCTTGTAAACATGGTACTTAACCTCCGGGTCCCATTAAAATGTAACAAGTTTTAATACCAGGTGACGGACTCCGCTCTGAGGAATTTGTTACGGATTCAGAATTGCGTAGATCTCTTCGATAAACGATAATATCTGGTATCTACAACCACGTACAAGAATACACGTAACAACCCACGACCGTGGCAACTTATAATCGCTTTATGCCGCGAAGACAGCACGGTATCATGTCTTCTTGCCAGTTTTCATTGCACGCAGTTCAGAAGCTCGGAAATTGAAAGCGGACCAAGGCAGTTTATAAAACGTGTCCAAGTTATCCGAGTGCGACTTCACAAACAGCAAGCAATGGTTGGTACTACGCAGCGCAGTTACAATATAATACCAACATGGCGGCGCGCTCTCTCTGCAGCTTGTCAGAACTGTTACTTCGCAGTTTGCTTCTCCGATATGCCAGTAACGACGTTAAGTTCAGAGAGGCTCTCTATACGGGGCCCAAATTAGCACGTACATTACTGGGTCATATAGATCCCGTGCTCTCAAAGAGGCCACAGCCACCGCTAGGAAGCTGTGGAGCAGCGCGTATTCACACAGGGCTGGCTACCTTTCATCCAATTACGTGCAAAGTGGTCACTTTTAATTATTATGCTCTTGTCAGAATGAGGCGTCCTCCGGTGTTTGGCGCCGGTTGCAGTAAGGAAGCTGGGACGATTGGCGTCGGCGTAGGATTGCCCGTCACAACGACAGACCAGGTCCTTCGGTAGGAAAAACTGAACGAAAGAGGTCCTTCGCGAAGTCGAGGGGTGGAGACGGTGATAAGGAGGGCGTAGGGCTCAAGATACGGTTCACTGACGCAGCTACAGCGGGGATTTACAAACCACGGAGACATTTTCCGACCAGCTGAGTCAAGGAATTCTCTCCGAGGAGTCAGATGATTTGCACAGGCACAGGATAGATGAGAAATGCGGGCGAAGTTTGAGTCAGAAACCCCGAAGAGACGAGAACACTTCGCAAAATAATAAATAATATGACGATAATATTAAAACATATCTTGAAATAACAAGGTCTGGGTGTGATTTGAATTACTTAGGACTTACTTGGCAGACTCTTTGTGAGCACGGTAATGATTCTCCGGAATTCATTGACCAGCTAAGCAACAGTCATTTTCTCGACAAGAGGGCCCTGGTAGTTATCGAATGAGAAATTGTCTCTGCGTCTAAATAGAACATTGAGGGGGCGGGAAATTGGACTGTGAATTCTTGGATACAATCTGGTTATTTTAACCAACAAATGTCACCGACGTCTGTTCGCAGCAGATCAAAAATTAAACTGGAAAAAAGACGGTTCTCTTAAGCAGAATGCACTCACGAAGGGAGGGAAAATTTCGTGGTATTTTATTTAAGTTGTATGCACGTGTAACTTAAAACGTCTCTGACACTAAAAAAACATTGCGGTAAATGTAGTTGAACCATGCTGGCTTAATTTATGTGACTTCTGGTGTCCATTTGAAAAATTTTCTTCTCCTTTCACGTTACATGTGTATTTTTTTTCAAGAAGCATACAGCGATACGATGAAGAACTTTATCGCGGCGATGCGAACGTCAGCGCAAAACCAATTCGTCCTGTACTGATCACTTACTTAAAACATTCGGAACCTCGTCGGTTTCGCCCCGCATTTCGAATCCCATTATCACACAAATTCTCTGTCACTTGAAAGTAAGTGACATTGATGCGACCGGTCGCACAACACACACGACGTCAGGTGTCCGTGACGGAGTGACCGTCGAGTGTCGGACGAGTGAGTGACCGGGCCACTCAGGGACTGATTGAACGTAATGTCGGGTCAGGTTGACAAGAAAAATATATTTCATCCGTCATAAAGGCCGTAATGAATAGCTCGTTTCGCGCGCTCCACCTATTTAACACTTCATTCACCACACATCACAAATGCGAATGGCAATGCAGATTCTCTGTGGCAGGGGCGACGTTGCTAAATCGACAGCACGCGGCTTTCAAAACGCCAGGTTTCTCAGCACGAGACATTAACAGAGGACGAAGGAGTCTCTGCGAGTTCCTGCGATGTCCTCGGCAGTACGGAGGCCGCCGGCGAGATCTTTCAACACGAACCTCAATGCTACTGTAGCAGACAAGGACCAAAGCCCGCTATTGGTGACAGTTCTGAGCCATCTCCATCCATCTACCAACCTCATCATCTATCTTAATATTATCCTTCGATCTTCCGCCAAAATTCAGCATGCATCCCGCTTGCACGCCCAGCTAGACACTGCCTTCTATATTTATCTCTTCAACCTACAAATTACTGGGAAACAAATTAATCACAGCGCAGGCCCGCACGAAACACCCAATAAGAGGCCACCCTGAACACCATTACAAATATTAAACATGAATGCCTTCGAGTCAGGTAAGAGTACGTTTGGAAACGAGCTTTTTCCAAAATTACTGCATATTTCAAAAGGTTAACAATTTCACTCGAGTGGTGAATGGGTGACGTCACGAGATGATAAAACATGCTAGGACTTTCAATAACAACCACTGTTCACGGTTTTGCGTCATTCACGCCGAAACTGAAGTACTCGCCGACACATCCCTAGTAAACCGGGAACGTTAGGGAGGTTCCTGGTTCGAGGCCCGATCGTTAAATTACTCCGCTTATCACATCCCTCCCCCTTCATTCACCACCACTAACATTTGGCGACGAGTAAAAATCTCACTGAGCACATTTCAACCCCCATCCCCTTTTCAGACGCCCTCAATTCGTGTTCTTATTTGCTTAGGGTGGAAACCAACACGATTATAGCGAATTTCGAAAATGTTGTATGAAGTTATATTCAATTCATTGTTCCCGCCCGATCTGTAACTCGGAACATGTAACAAAGGTTTGGCAGCGTTTTTCTTTCTGTATATTAACACGAAACCATAAGAAAGCCGACGTCCGACCCGTCGGTTCGTCTGTCGTCGAATCGCCACAAAGCAGAATGTTTTTCGAAGTCAGAAACCCGACATTCGACGACGAGCGTGTCGAAACAAAATGCAGCGAGGAAGCCACAGAAATGCAGGCGATAAAGAAGTGGCCTCTGTTAAAAGAGTGAGCGCAATTGAAATGTTTCTTTCAACAGAGAAGAATGTAGGGAACGTCGTTCACTGCCTTCAACACCCGCGTCACTAAACCTGCAACCACAATGCAACGGGTAACGGAGCGGACGTTTCGAGAGATTAAGATTCTGAGAAAAAATAATGTCGCGATGTTTGTGCATTTCAATTCCTTTACGTAAGAACAAATCTACGCTGCTCCATCCACGGTTCGAAACATAACTGCATACAGGCCGTGCTCATAACCCTTTAAAGCTCTGTGGTAATTATATATACCATCTGTTTTAACATTCAATAACTCTAAAATTTGTATAC